CCCCACCAGCGTCCCCAGTAGGTCACTTATATACCTCACCAGCTTCCTGAATAGGTCTACTTAATATATGCCGGATAGATCCACTTATATCTCACCAGCATCCCGGATGAGTCCACTTATTCCCTACCGGCGTACCAGATAGGTCAACTTATACCTCATAGGCTTACCAGATACGTCCACTTAATATCTATCGGCGTACCGAATAGGTCCACTTGTACCTCACTGAAGTACAGGATGAGTCCACTTAATCCTCATCGACGTACCAGATTGATCCACTTATACCTCATCGGCTTTCTGGATGATTTCACTTAATCCTTATTGGTGTAATGGATACGTTCACTTGTATACTTAAAGTATCTCTGAAACCCTTTAAACATCAGGAAGCAACAATCTCGTATATTCAAAATATCATTGAAATCATTAGCATGAATTTACATTAGGCAATTTATATAAAACACTTTCACTGATATTTCTACAAGTAACTAGTTAAATACTTTGGGCTCAATTTCTTAGATCGCTTTATAAAGATAGCAGTTATGAGAACAATTCTTAAAAATTGAAATCTAACATGATAAGCAGACTATTAACAAAAAAAGAATTATTATGGAAATCCAGAGTTAAATATTACATTTTCAACTATAAAAAATTCTTAATGAAAGATGTAAATAATACAATGCATAAATACCAGTTTCATAATGTTACATACAAATAAAATTTATAGTGTCTAAAATTCATAATGATAGACAAAACTATTACAATTTTATTTTATAGGGAACTAAGGTAACATACACATAAAACTTACGGTATCTAAAATTCATAACAATAGACGGAAATATAACAATTTTATTAAAAGCAAAAATTCCAGTTTTCAAATAACTATTTTACAGGAAAATGAGATCACTTATTTATACGTCAGAGTAAAACCGAGATTAGTGATGTTTAGCTAAAGATATGGGAAGAGAGAGAACAAACGAGTTTATGTATAGGGAGAGGGAGCATAAAAAAAACGTTCATATCACAAGAGAGAGAAACATATTATATTATTATGAGAGAGATAAATAATAGATAATTATTTTATAAGAACCTTATGAGAGAGAAAATAACTTATTATGAGGTCTTTATGAGAGAGAGAAAAATATTATACAATTTTTTTTATGAGAATACTAGAGAGAGAAAAAATCATTTGTTAAGAGATAATCATTACAAGAACATTATTATGATAATAATATTATTTTTATGAAAGCATTATTATGATAATAATAATATTTTTATGAAAATGTTATGAGAGATAAAAACTATTTGTTGTGAGAGAAATAGCACGAGGAGAGAGAAAAAAAAAGTCATTAAGAGAAAATAATGAGTTACATATGGGAAGAGAGAAAAAGACCAATTATGATGGCCTAATGATGGGTTGACGAGGGGTATTTGTAAGTAGACATATGAGGGGTATTTGTAAGTGATGATGATTAATTTTCATTTTATACATGTCAAATATGCATTTTTTTTTAAATTTATATATATGTCACCTCATAACACATTATTATTTTATAATAATATTTTATGACACATCATTTTTTTGATACCACCTTATGTCACATCACTATTTTATAATAATACTTTATGACACATCATCTTATAATATCGTTTTATATTTAATTATCTTAATTTAATTAAAATAATCGTGAAAATGAAAATTTACAGTTGTCGCATGGTACATTCATAATATAGGTAACTATCATTCAAAATTATATATATATATATATACTTTTTTATTTATTTTTATTTTTAAAAATATTTAGAATCATCACATCTCTTTGTTTCTTTTCTTTTTACTTGCAGGCAAGACCCATCCTCCCAAGTCCCAACTCATGATGATCACTCGAGATAATATGCTCTAGTCAAGACCACAAATTCCACCTCCCCAAATACTTTCTAGAGAGAGATAACACCAAATACTTTAAAGAGAGACAAAGTAAACGACCTTTACGTCACATCCAGAGAGAGAGAGAGAGATTTTCGTTGGTGGAACCTTTGGTCTGGTCTTTCTCTAGATTAGTCATGGCGTGGGCCAAAAGCATATATGGATGAAGTCGGTGACTATTAATTTTTCAAATAAGTTTATACAAGGGTCAGGTTCTAAACAATCAAATTAAAGCGCACCCAAAAGATTCATTAGAAAAGATTGTTGTAATGCCCAAAAATCCTTAGACCCAAGGTCTTGATGTATGGACATTAGAAAAAAATATCAATTTTTAGAAATAATACATCTTGTAATACATTTTTAAACCGTCAATTTTTAAGGTTTCTAAGTATTCATAAATCTACTTGATCTCCACTATTTATAAAGTTTTAAATTTTATAATTAGATATGAAAATAAATTTTCAGGCCATCACAAAGATTTTCAATAATGAAACACCTTTCGGAACTATTTGACGGTGCATCTTACTTTGATGGTTTAAGGCATACAAAACGTACCCTTTGTTTTTATTCTTTCCTCCTGATATTCTCCGTGACTAAATGAAATTTTAAACACTATGGTTAAGAAGAAGGAAATTTCCAAGAATGTTTCCTATCATGTGTTCGTGTTTTACTTTTTTATGACAAATTGGCATTTAATATGATTCCGTAAGCCCTAAAAATGGAGGAGATCTAACTTATAACAAACTTCAATCAAATGGAGGTCCTAGGAATGTGGTATGAAAAAGCCAAAAAAGTGTTCTGCCCATACCTATACTTTTGTTCAATGAAAGTAACGTTATGGATAAAAAAAATAGAGCAAAAAACTTGTCCCCGTGGAAACTAAATAAAAAAGGGTGTGGTTTGTAAAAGGCTGAGGCCCTAAACAATCAAAGTACGGCCCACCTTTAAATAGTGCGGAGATATGTTGTGTTAGTATAAAAAATCTTTATGATGGCTAAGATATTTATTTTCATCTCTAATTGTAAAATTTAAAGTTCAAACATAGTGTACGAGCATATCTATAAACAATTGAAAATCTTAAAAATTGACAGTCTAAATTATAGATTACAAGTTGCAATATTTTAAAGCCTTGAAATCTATTTTTTCTCATGACCATAGATTTTGAGGTCGAGATGATCGAATTGAGGTTTTTACAATACTGAAACAACTTTTTCTAATGAATTTTTGAAGTTCGCCTTAATTTGATTGTTTAGGACCTCATCCTTATATAGTCTTTTTCTAATAAAAAAACAGCCCATTGAAGGCTAAACCTTTCCCCATCTATCACTTCAACCATGTTATTTTTCTTTCTTGGAAATTTTTTCAAAATGTAAATAAATGATGGATTTAGTTTCAAAAATTCCACAAAAAAATACTAATCATGAGTTACAATATCTGAGATGTATTTTGATAAATTGATAAAATGTCAAATAGTTGATATTTTAGATATATTATGATAAATCTCCCTTTCTCTTCTTTTACCTTTCCCTAGAACATATTAAATTTTGAATAATAATTTCTCTAAAAATAGTACATAATTTGGCAAAGAACCCAGTAAAACTTCATCAAATGGTTGGAGATAAAATGTAAACGTCAAAAGTTCTCAACAAAATACGCAAGCATTATTTAATCATGCCGTCTCTAATCTTCAAACATGTGCGTTGACCAATAGCAGTCTAATTAATAAAGAAAAAGCACCTAGTTCTATTTGCAGGCAAAATTTTAGGCGAGCTTCTAGGTTACCATTTTGGATTAGTCATAAGAAATAGAAAAAAACAGCCGTGAGTAGGGGCACAACCGATTTCAAAAAGACAAAAAAAGGGGACCAAAATATGATATTGTTATTTAAAAAAAAAAAATTTCCTCTAAAGGAGAAAAACCAGATGAATACAATCCAAACAAACATACTTACTACGGGCTGATTACTTACTGGAAAAAATTTATATAAGGCTGAGGCCCTAAACAATCAAATCAAGACACTGACCTCAAGATGTACCAACATGAGAAAAGATAGGTTTCAAATCTTGAAAATAACACATCTTGTAACATTATCTTGACGATGATTTTTTAATATTTTCAAAGTGTTGATAGTTCTAGTCGATCCATGTTATTTTTAAACCTTAAATTGCATAATCAGAAATTTCAAATCATCGTAAATATTTCTAATATTGAAAGAACACATTTTGGCACTACTTAAAGGTAAAGGTACGCCGTTTGATTGTTCAAGGCCTTGGCCTTATGCAAATCACACCCTTACTTATTAATGTATCTTAAGAGAGAGAGACTTAGGGGGCTAACCCATTGATGTTAGAGAGAGGGCTGGCCCCTTTCAAGCATCTCACCCCCCCTCCCCCCAAACCAACTTTTTTTCCATTTCCATTAAAACTACATCTGTCCTCCCTTTTCATTGATTGGTTGTGAGAGAGAGAGAGAGAAGAATAGATTAGGTATTGAACATTTATCCGATTCCATATGGTCTAGGAAATTTTTGTTCGAATTCTAAAAGCAAGGCACCTTTCTCATGGCCCAATTTTAACCTCACGTCCCTCTATTTTTAATCTCCCTCTCAACTTTATGGAGGAAAAGGGAAAAGCCTCACAACAATAATAGGCTCATGGATTCTCTCTCACTCTTGATAGAAGTAATGGTGAATGGGCACCCTCTTTTTCATATGTACCTATAGAACTAAGCCAATCCCACCCACAAGATTCTGTTTTATGAGAACCACAATAATATTCCAGTTTCAAGAGGATAGATGAGATTCTTCCTAGAGAATATTGTGAATGGGACTCAAATTCATCGCTGTAACAATCAAAATCTTAATCAATAAACAAGAGTAAGCTGAGAACAATATCACGCATTAAAATCTTAATCAATAAACAAGAGTAAACTGAGAACAATATCACGCATTACCGTTACCTATCCCTAACGGATGTGTGGAATAAGTTCCATCCCATTTCAGCCTAATGCCACTCAATTATATGTATTCTGAGACTAATGCACAGAATTATATGCATTTTGGGACTCATAAAAAGCTATCTCATCACCAAAGCATACTTCATTTCAGACAAACTTCAAATCCCCCATTATCTACCAACAACAACGAACTCATAATAAAAATGTGTCAGAAATCAGAAATCCATGGATTAGTCATATATGACACCAAGCAAACTACAAAAACACAAAAAGGAGTCTCTCTCCCTTCCTTACCCAGTTAATATGGTCCCAAACCTCTTTAGGGGCAGAGTGTACAAAAACAACAGGGGGTTTAGAGGCAAGTTAACCTTGAAAAAAAAAACAAAAAAAACACTCTTCCTGTCTCTCTCCACATGGTTCTTTCTATTTTGTGGTTTGGAGCTAGACTTATCAGTTGAAAAGCAAAAAGCTTGGCAGACGAAAGTCGGCCTTCTTGAGCGAATTTTCGGTCTCGGAGGTTCTTTTCGGTGGGTTGTGTTTGTTTTGATCGAGGAGTTCTTGCAGTAGAGAAAGGGATGCACATATTTACATGATGAAGTTGGAGTGAGAAACAAAATAGTTGAAATCGTGGTGCTGGACTCTGAGCTGCTTAAGCCATGAGTCGGCAGCGCTCATGAGAGAGATAATGCGGTCTTGGTCTCTGCTGCTGCTCTCCCCACTCCCATTCATCCAAAGGTTGTTACTGCCCATCATTTTGTATGTGGCCAACCCGAATGGAGGGAGAGCAATATTCCCTTTTCTCCCTCTAACCTTCTCCTCCCCATCCTCACACCCATTTTCTGCCCAATTCATAAACACATTCAACTTCAAAACAAATGCAGAGAGTAAACATTGGTATTCATTTTTTCTTTTCCTTTTTTGGTATCTGTGGAGAAAACAACCATATCCAAGTGCAGGTAGAAATATATAAGAATTCCTCAAAGCATTTCTTTTTTGGGCATTTGGTACAGGATTGGTTATAAAGCAATGAAGTATGGATTGGTCAAACCTACTTCTACAACTGGAAACAAGAAACTAACTACGAAGCAAGGGACTGAAAACTGCTACTGCTTTATTTGTTTATGAACTTTATATACATAAAAAAAATGAAACCTACCACTACCAGGCCTTAACCACTATAAGCCCAATGTGAAATTGGGAGTTATTTTTTCGAATTTTGGGACATATAAAACCTCCTTCACTAACCCTAATCAAAAGCTGTGAGAGATTCGGTTTTTGTCTCCTTATTAATAATAGTTAAATTCCCTTTTGGCTCAGATGAAAGGCAGGCCTGTCGAGGTTTTAAGAGAGAAGAAAAAGCCAGAGGCCTTTTTTCCAAAAAAAAAAAAAAAAGAATAGAAGAAAGCAAAAAAGAAGGGAAGGAAGAAACAAAAAACAAAAAACAAAATTAAATATTCTCTGTTGAAGGGAAATAAAAGAAACAGATCAATAATTATATGAAATCAAATTTATTGCTGGACAGAGAAGTCAGTCAAGGATCATCTCACTGATATGAAAAACCCTGAATAACTGTTCAAAATGACTGACAAAGTTGATAGAAAAGCAAATTGAGATGAAGATGGCTTTTTATTTTGGTCTGTAGTTTACCTTGGAAGGAGGAGGAGAGGGTGTGATAAGTGAGGAAACACGCAGACAAATCTTTCACTGTTCTCCCTGTGGGAATGTGATAAATTGGGTACCTGAAACAAACCCAACAACAAAATATGAAATGCTTTCCATATTCTGTGAAGGCAGAGACAAAACACAAGAACAAAAAGACGTGAAGAAGAATACAAACCAAGCAACGGCCATCCAGCTAGCAGGCGAAAGGTCAATGCTTTTTAACGACATCAATCCAGGAAAACCCGTTGATAATTCATTAATCTGCACAAATGAAAACTCAAATTCATTCACAAATCCCTTATCAAAATTGAAGTTAAGTCCATCGGTAAACCTTTCGGCTTCATGAAGATCCCAGGATGAGTTGCCATGAAAAATGAGAGAGAGAGAGAAAGGAATCACCGTGCCTATTAACCAAGGAAAACCCGAACCAGAGATTTACCTTGTCCATGAGTGGTATCCGTCCATATGGGGCCGATCGCTCAAAGTATTGGAAATAGAGGTAACCGAGCCGATCACGCATGGGCCAGAGGCCTCCACCTTCTTGATCGAAACTGGAATCCTCAGAGGTGGCATCCCAAGCCCCTCCACGTCCAGGGCTCGAATAGCTCGGCCACCTAGACAGTGCCTTGTCGCTTTCACTGTCATCGCTCCACGAATCACTCGACGAATCCCGCCCTTCGAACTCACCCTGATCACTGTCCTCCCTCAAAGGCCTGAACAAAATTCAACCCAACTCTTAAATTTTTAAAAAACACAAAAAAAATCCCAAATTTCCAAAGCTAACAACAACAGGGGCAAAATACTCTGAATTTACCGTAAATTAGCAAAAGACTTGCTGGTATAAATCTGAATTGCAGAGAGATAGGGAACGTAGTACTGGACTACGGTCTCCCCACTGCTCAGGACGATGGGAGCACCGGCGCCGTATGCACTCCATTCGTCGTATCGATCCCAGAGGTCTCCGAGGTTGAAGTACTCCATGGTCTCTCTCTGGTCGTCTATGGGATGCCACAGACTATTGAGGTCCCTAATGCAGGTCTAAGCTCCACAAACGGAAAACAAAACAGAGAAAAAAGCAGAGAAGAGTAAGGGAAGTGTATTGAGGGCAGAGAGATAAAAGGAAAAGTGAGAGGGGCTCACCTTTGGGAGAATTTGAGAGGGGACAAAAGGAGTGGTGCAGTCCAAGAAACACTCGAGGTTTGAATGCGAGGAGAGGGCGGATTGCGAAGAAGGAGACATGGTTGCAGAGAAGAGAAGAGGAGAGAGGAGAGTATAACTATATCCTTATGTTCCTATTTTGGGAATATTTAGGAGGAGGCTCAATCCACTGCAGCCTATTTTAACGGGGTATCTTTTCAATTCCATGCATGCCATAATTAGTGACACATCACTTCTACTGCCCTAATGCACCCATTTCTCTTTCTCTCTCTCTCTCTCGAACTCGAACCAGGGAGGGAGAATCGAAAGAGAGAGCGATGAATAGCAGCACGTCAGAGATAATATTTTTTGTCGATCAATCAGGGTTCAGGAATGCGTTTCAAAGGGGAGAAGAAGGTTAAAAATGAGAGCCTCTGCATCCGATGGTGATTGTGTTTCTATCCGTGTGGGTGGGTGGGTGGATCGGATTTTTGTTCGAGCGGAGCGGGGCGCCGCACAGCACAGCGTCGTGCTTCATTCTGTCTCTTTCTTATTTCAGGGCTCATTTCGCGGACGTGAAGCCCTTTACAATTAAGCAGATTGGAGAGGAGGCCGTAACGCACGCCACGCCCCACCCTTAATTCCCTTTTCCTACTCTCATTTCGCGTCCGCTCTGCAAACCCCCACCTCGTCCCAACACCCGAAACCAAATAATCCTTCTCTCCTAACCACTCTCGCATCCGAAAAATCTCCATTATGCCTTTAAAATTGACTTCCACTACATTTTTTTTTATGTGTGGACCTACTTTTCACAGACCCGGCCCTATAAAAGTTGTTTCCTTTATTTTATTCATTGTTCTCATAAAAATATCAATCAAATGGACATTACCATTAAAAGCTACCAAATCATCTCATTTAACATTAGATTTTTCTTTAAGTTCCATTTAGGTAGGTTGCTCAATTCGAGATCCGGATTCTTGAACAAATGTGGACATTTTTTAAATTTATACTCATCTAAGTGCCCTAGTTAAATTACAAAATAACACTAGTCATGAAAATGGAACTGCCAAACAACCAAAACCCTCTCAGTCGTGTAGGGTAACTCATGTAAGATGAAAATGGTCTAATCTTAAAAAGTTGCCTCCTTAGGTTCGAGCCTTTGATAGTGTGAGCTGGGCGGAACTCGGCGTAGTTCCAGGATTCAAGTGCAGATCTCCCACCGGGAGAAAACTTGGTAAGTTTTTTTCTTTCTTGGGTAGTTTAGTGACACAAATCGAACTCGAGATGTAGTATTGTTTGATGTCTAACTGCTAACCACTCAAGCCCAAGCCTGATTCCTTATCATAGCAACACATCATATGGGAATGTAATCTCCTTTACCGAGCTAAAAGAGAAAGGTTATCCCATATGTGGTTCCTTGTATTCATCAATATAGGCTAAAAAATGGAAAGATATGGTATATAATGACGCCATTTATCTTTGGGATTATATCAAATTTATATATCTTATATACCTTTGGGGCAGCGATCTGATGCAACTGTTGTATCATAGTAAAATGCAACTACAATTCTAAAAAATCATGTTTGTGGAATTTGTATGACCCAAAATTTTGCATACACTTTCTCTTCATCTCAATAATGAATACCAAAAATAAAAAAAATCAATTTGAACTATAGATGTGATCAAAATGAGTCCCATCCAACAACAAATTCAAGATCTTAGCCTTTACAAACTCAAAATCATTTTTTCCTTTTTTAACATTGTTCATCTGATGATAAAGTCATCTAACAAATTTGGAAAAGAAAAAAATCCTTTTAAGACCAAAATCTAAGCATCTTATCAAAATGGATGGTCTATGTTAGCTGGACTAAAAAAATTGTGTTGTTAAATTTTTTTTTTTTTTTGTGGTTGTTCATTTAAAATGAAAACAGTGTATATTCTAAAATTTGAATCAAACAAATAGTGTTAACATAATTTTTTAAAGTTATTGCATTATACTATAATACAACTCTAAGTTTTTGATATGACACTCAAACCTAATATCTAGTGCTCATGTTTATCTATAAACGTCTTGCTAGCCTCTTGGGGTTTTAGCGGGAACAATTCAAAACTCTACTGCTAATATTTCTGTACACGTACAAAGTACATTGTCAAATATGGTACTCGTGCGGACTACAGTGCTCGGTTCCAAACAATAATGTCAAGGATGGGTTTCTATGGATAATCGACTCATATGTACACATGCAGCCCCCACTAAAATCTATTTTAAGGATGGATTTTTCATTTAGTTTTTTTTATAGCTTCATCATCTTGATCGTGAATATGAAAAGAAAAATAAAATTTTAAAATGAAAAAATTAATTTTTTTATTTTTTGGTGCACTGTCTATATGGAACTTACGGGGACTGCACACTTTATACAACGTCCATCCTTATATGGACGTTTGCGAGTGAGCGGGTTCTTGCGCCGGATGACTCACACAACACTTTTTCTAATATCAATCCCGCACTCTCCTTCTGCTTAAGTGCTAATTATTGTATAAATATATATTTGCGTGTGTCAAACCTCAATGAGGTTTAGCTCGCATGCTGATTACATAAAAAGAAATTATAGAATGAGACGACTTACTTTTGGCACAAGGTAGTCACATTAATCTTGATAATTGGATGTGAAATTGGGTAGCTGTAATTATTCCATTAATTAAAAAAAACCATGACGTTTAAAAAAAAAAAACAAAAAAAAAAACAAACAAGCCACCTAGAAATAGAAAGAGAAGCAGTTTTAAAGCACGTAAAAACAAGGTTGTGAGTCTAGTTTTCTTTAAACAAACTCCCGCTTTCCCTATCAGAAAAGAATTTGACTTTGGCTCCTTTACAACTCATAACGAAATTCTCTCCCACCGTTATTTTTCCAATGACAATGGCGACCATGGCTTTAAGAAGAGTGAAAAAAAAAAAAGTGGTCCGTGTCATCTTATTCAATGGAACGGCCATTATTAACAGTTTAACACCCATGATATCAGATTGTCCAACTTTAGTAACGACGCCATGAAATGGAAATGACAAAATTCATAATTCGATAGAAGAATACAATATTAACATCAAGTAATTCACTGTATCGGTTCTCTGCATGTCCTCCTATTATGACCCTCTGCGCCGCATCGTTTGTACTTCAAAGGCCTGGTGATCAGATGTTTTGTCTCGGATATTCTTCATTGCTTTTTTGGCCTACCGGGAAGGTGTGTAGTCCTTGATGGTAATACTATCCGGTTGTAAATACTTGTGAACTCGATATCATCCGGGACAGGCGCAAAGGGAGTTTTAAATGCCTTTTTAAAGTATTCCACTGTAAAATACTTAAGGCAGTACACAGCGGGATCCAAATGCATATGGTTAATAGCCGCAATGACATGGGCAAAAGGAATGCCATTGAATTGCCATTTTCTACAATTGCATGTCCAATGCGTTAAATCGATAGCATACTTCTTCCCAAGATAATGGATCTCAAGCTGCGTATCCATGGCAGATATAACTGTGTGAAAAAATCAAGCTTTCATCTTTCGCATGTCAAGTAATTCTTGGACATTCGGTACTAGCATGCCGCTCCAAGTATTACCTAACTCCCTCTTCTCTTCAAATCTGGTTATCAACTGTACCTTTATGTTTTCACACATTGTAATGATCGACTTCTCTTGAGCCGATAAATCCAAGCAATGAAAGACTCGGCCATGTTTGAGGTAAGATGACTATATCTAGACCATGAAAAATAGGCACATACCCAAAATTTGGAGAAATTATTCTTAATCCAATCATATGCTTCTGGGTCGGCACATTTTATATCAAAAATTATTTTTTCAAACCCACCAATGGTCTCTTTATGGGCACCCTTCCAAAACAGCATCAACAATACTTCAGTATTTGCTGACCTCTTCATAAAGCCCTTGAAGTTCTCTCCCACATGTCGCATGCAAAATGATGGAAAACATGTGGGAAAGCATTTTTTTATTACTTTTGGTAGGCTTTTCTATCGATCAGATATAATGTTAAGGCAGGCAGATTAGGGTACCCATTCAATAGCTCACTCAATATATTTAAGAACCAATACCAATTCTGGTAATTCTCCTTCTCAACCACTGCAAATAGTAATGGGAAGAGCCCATTATTTGCATCTAGCGCGATGGCGCATAATAAAATGCCTTGATACTTTCTTTTTATGAATGTTCTATCAATATCAATTAGTGGCCTGCATCCATTAACAAACTCATAATGCATGGATGATAAGCAATGAATAGTCGTTTGAACCTGCCTTCATTTGTGTGGATGCGAACTTCGGTTCTCGGGTTGGTTCTTCTGATCTTCTCAATATACCGGGGGAGGTCATGGTATTATTGTTCATGCGATCCATCTATCATCTGTCTAGCAACATATTTTCCCCGCCAAGCTTGCATATAGGAAAGCTTGACCTCATGATCACGTTGAACATCATTTACAATGTCTTTTGCTTTAATTTTTGTTAGCCAAAAAATATGGTCTTTAATCTTTTTTGCCACCCAATCACTACAAGCTAGTGGCTAATGGACCCTCCCCATTAGACCACTACATGTGTGCTCCTTAACCATAAACTTTACTTTAAAGTATGCGGTACTGTCAACTCGTAAGCCCCGCACTTGTCATGTGCATCCCTCTACCTTGTAACTTGTCCACACCTGTACTAATTAACTTTTGTCAAACTTTAAAACAAAATTGTTGTAGATTGCAAAATCAACTAGATGATGCTGACATTTATTAACATTTTCAAAAAATTGCCCAACTTTCAATTGAACCTCGTTACCAAGTCCTCTACATGGACACTTTAGTGGTTCAATATCCTCCATATCATGCTCTGGTACGAGCTCAGGGTTGGGTGCCACTTCAATGTTTTGATATTGCTCAGGTAAAACATTACACCGACTGTTGACAAAAGATATAGTGTAAGATGAAGCAGCAATTTATGCACATATAAGATTAAAATAAAACAATTTACAGATAAAAAAATAAATTGTAGATATATCTAGTCCTTGAAGATGGGCCCTCAGCAACAGATTCTTGTTGTGGCTCGACAATATATACTACAATTCTCGAAGATTCCCCTCCCAACAGAAAAGATACATCAGTATCATCACTAACATCAATCAAATCAAGCCCACTAGATAGACTTGAGTTGTGGTACATAATAGCTAATTTGCTTGGGTCACACTTGGTTAAATTAGCAAAATGACTTTTTAGTTCATCCAAGGAACTATTCACATTATACTTGGTGACCTTCAATTTTTCTCTTGTATAAATAACACGTCTGTCATATGTATTCGTCTTAAATGACCCCCGATATCGAATACCAGTTGCACTCCCTCAGTAGCCATCGTCAATACTATTGTATTAAATGAATAGCAAAATTTGTGTCTAAAAAAATCAATGCAAAAAAATTACCAAAAATTGAGATATTTCTAACTACTTTAGGGTTCATAAAATTGTTTATGATGAAAAATCGGACAAACTTCAGGCAAAGATCTCTATGATTTTTGACACCTTAAATTAAATAAAAATGCAATAAAAGAGTGGTAAAGAAAGTGACACAAATC